TCTCTTTTGAGAAAATTTATTTTCTCTATTGATTAGGGATTATAGCACTGTCAGCAGGAGAGCAGCCTTCGGATGAAGAGCAAGTTAACCTTTCTAATAAATCATTGTTACACCAGTCAGTTATACTTCTCTGGAGTTTTTTTGACCCTATCTGCCTCCAGGTATGTAATCAAGACTTTAAAATATGCCAAGTATTTAAATAACATGAGAACAAACAAATGGTGTGACTGTATTTCTCAATGATCTTGTTTTCCTTCTCTCTAGTTGGTGTTGAAGGCTCCTGAAGACATTTACTGCTTTCAGTTCAGTCCAAGTGATCCAAATATCATTGCTGGTGGCTGTGTCAATGGACAGGTTTTTGGTCTTTAAAAACAAAATTGTATATTTCTGTATTTTCTTCCAGTATAAAAATAAGGATGAAGAGATGTACTCAACACCCATAGTAACACACAGAGACAGAAGACAGGTGTCACAGGGTCTTGAAGTTCTCTTGTCATGGACTGAAGCTATGTCTGGTTATTCCATAGCTGAGCCATTACCATACGATGTACTGATAAATAGGTCAAGTTGTAAAGACCCTTTTTTAGAGACAAATGTAACCTTTCTGCTGATTGCATCAGACTGAAGAGATAATACTTTAAAGACTTCATAATTTCTAGTGGGGAGAATGAATTTCTTTTTCTTCAAACCTCCATGATTTGAAAAAAGGTGCATATTAATGCACAGCATATTAACACATATATGCAAATATAATTTGTAATTTACTAATTTTCGTTATAGGTTGTACTGTGGGATATTTCTAAACATGAAACAAAGCTGCAAAGTACAGTACCTGTTCCTGATGAAACCATTGACTCAGCAGAGGGTGAGCCAAGAGCAGCAATAGCAGGGATGACTGAGGTAATTCCAGGGCTGATGGTTGGACAGTGGTGTACAGGGGTTCCCCAGCAGTGGCACTGGCAGCACAGAACACCAGCTGCATCCTGGGCTGCATCCAAAGCAGTGTAGCCAGCAGGGCAAGGGAGGGGATTCTGCCCCTCTACTCTGCTCTGGTGAGATCCCACCCGGAGCACTGAGTCCAGCTCTGGTGCCCCCAACACAAGAAGGATGTGGAACTGTTGGAGCAAGTCCAGAGGAAGGCCACAAAGTTGATAAGAGCACTGGAGCACCTCCTCTACAAAGACAGGCTGAGAAAGTTGGGGCTGTTCAGCCTGGGGACGAGAAGGTTGCATGAAGGCCTCATAGCAACCTTCCAGTATCTGAAGGGAACCTAGAGGGAAGCCACAGAAAGACTCTTGGTTTGCAACTGTAGTGACAGGACAGTGAGTAATGGGTAAAAATTAAAAATTTAGATTAGATATTAAAAATAAATTGTTTACTTTGTGAGAGTGATGAGACACTGGCACAGGTTGCCCAGGGAGGCTGTGGATGCCCCAGCCCTGACATGTTCAAAGCCAGCTTGGATAAAGCCTTGAGTGAGCTGGTCTAGTGGGAGGTGTCCCTATCCATGGCTAGGGGCTGGGACTAGATAATCTTTAAGGTCCACTCCAACCCCTTAGCATTCTATGAGTCCACAAAATCAAGATAATAGCTGTTAATAGGGTAAAAATAGGGTTTGTGTTGTAAGTATATTGCAGTGTATCTGGATGTCTGTGGAGGAAAAACAGGTGAAGGTTTCCTGACTCAAAAGAGAGGAGTAGATAATCTTTGCAATGAGACACTAGAAAGGATAAGAAACCTGATGAGTTCATGAAATGGAACCATTATCACAATTATCATGGTATAATTTCTTCCTGATTAGTATAGCTTAATAGGTTTAGGTTTTGCATTTTGTGCAACTTATGTTTCAGTGAGTCTGTTTTTTAGTGGGTACCAATATGCCCTCCACTCTTACCTTACCAAGCCTGTCAAATACAGATGTAGTTTGTTACTGAATGCAATACTGAAAGTATTCTAGATGTTTATGAACAGAGAAAAGGTAGCTTGGAAGATGAGAAGATGATTTCAGTGGAAAAAGATAATAAGGAGGATAAGCAGAAGAAAGACCTAAGAGGGGAGGAGACATTAATGATATCTGCAAGTCTGTGGAGACATGCTGGAATTCTTTTTAGAGCTTTATATCCAAAGCCCTGTTTTCATGCTTTCCTTTTTTTTTTTTTTTTCCCCAAATGGAAGGTATTAGACCCCTAGAAATTTCTATAAACTGATCTGAAATATGTGAAAAAGTGTTAACAGAATGCAAAGTAACCTTTTATTCTTCAATAGATCTACTGTTGTATTTTGAAAACTCACTAAGGTATCTCTTTTTTCAAACATTTCTAGCCATCACGTATGCAAGTCCAGCAGAGTAGCACAGAGCCACCTCTAGTGAGACACTGTGCAGCCTCTTCCACACCATATAGTCACACAAAGCCAGCAACAGATGTACATTGGCTACCATGGAACTCTGAGGTGAGTTTAAAAATTCACTTCTCTTCTTTTTATTGCTTTTCTAATCTACTACCTCAGAAATCCTAATGCAAGCTCAAGAGAAAATATGAAAGTTATTTATTTGTATTCATTATTTCTCACTACATTTAGTAAATACTAATAATCTGGTGCCTCTATCCTGTGCATTGTGCTTTACAACTGTGCTGTGCTCTCAGTCTGATATGAATCTGCTCCTACTGGAAAATATTTCCTTAACTTTACAGAAAAAAAAAAGTATAATTAAAAATTTTAATAAGCCTTCCATATTTAAAATGTATTGAATTTCTACTATGAGCAATCTAGCCTGTCACTAAGAATTCCAAGAAATAACTTCAATTACCTAAATACCTGGATACCCAAGAATGGTGTTATTGTTCCCTTAATTTTTCTAAATGCTGCCTGTGTACTCAAAGCTTACATTTTCCATTATGGTTTTAAAGCTCCAGAGTACTTATGGTCTATGTACTGAAAGGATCCAACAGGAACACTGGGTGCTGATTTATTATCAAAGTATGGCAAATTAATTTGAAATGCTAATGTAGTCAAATGCAAAATAATGACAGTGGAAAAGTAAACCAAGGAGAAGAAAACTGAAATCTTTAAAAGGTCTATGGAAATTATATATCAATAAATTTCCTAAAAAAAAAATTAAGACTTCACAGATACTACAGTCTTTAGTGGCATTTACAGAAAAGTAAGAAAAGGGGCACACAAAACCCATAAAATGTAAGCTGATACCACTGTTCATTATTATTTTATACAGTAATAGTCATGGATACTAACTGGTACCAGATGTAAAGCATGAAGAAAGGGATTGGATAGCAGAACATTGTTGTGGTTTTTGTTGTTTGGGTGGGGCTTTATAGTCAAAATTTAGGCTCAGAAGGCTGTTTTTGTGTTCATCTGGAATAACAGATACAGGAGACCCATGCTTAATAAATAACACTGACAAAGGAATCCCTTTGCCAATATTTAGCAACATGTACTTGGACATACTTTTTGTTATAAAAACATGGAATATGTCAGCCTTTGCATGACATAGCAGTTTGTATGGCAGAGTTCCTAAAGTCAGCAGTTTTATAACTACAGATTAATGAAAAATTATTAAAAGTTATATCCAGAATCTAATTCAGCTTTGGCTGCATTACTAGCATTGTAATTACAGGTATACAAACTCATGAATTAAAATTAGAGTAGGCTTAATTTGGCTTAAAAGACAAAAAATTACCTGAAAATTTGCCACATACTTGAGAAGTACAGTTTTGGCAAAATATGGACTTTTTTTGAATACTGGAAGTTCATAATTAGCCTGTAAGCCTTGTTACCCCTGATATCTTTCATTTATTTTCCTGAGTAATTACAATTAATTTGCTATAAACCAATAGCTACTTGGTAAATGATAAATAGTATAAAACCTGCAGAACCCCACATACATAAACTAAACAATTAATAATTAACATTTGAAGGAACCACTACAAATCCCACAGTGAGGTTCAGCCAAGTGATAATTTAAGATGGATGACCCATGGTGTAAACTTGGCAGACACATCACTCCCACTACATTGAACTGTTGGAAATAAATTTCTCAATTACTGGCTCTTTGGTTAAGTTACAACCATGGCAAATTAAAGAGTTCCTGACTTGTAGTGGTAGTGGTAAGTATTTATCGTGCTAAGTTAATTTAGAATTTTAGGAGTGTAGCAGGCAAAGCTGGTATCAGTTCACTTGAAGCACATTTGTAAAATAGCTTGACTTAACAACTGCAAATTAATGAGTCCTGATTTTCAAACCTTACCCAAGTAGAAACAGTGACTTAATTTCTAGTAGCTTGTTTCGTATATTGTAGTACTTACATATCAGAGTGTGATTTTTGTCTTTCATCATCTTCTTCCCTTGTAATAATGATTACTGTTATTTTCAGGACAAGCAAAAGGGTGGGACTTCTGAACACAGAGATGAAAATAACCTGCAGCTTGTAACCTGCTCCCCTGATTGGTATATACAATATACTCTACAAGACATCTTTCAGTTTCCTTTGAAAAACTTAATGAGGCATAATCCATTATTTAAACAGCACATTTCTGGATTCCTATCAGCATCTGCTGAGCAGCTGACATTCTGTATGCAGCAGACAAGCACTTTGCATTCTTGTCCATTAAGAATTTATTAACTGAAAACCCTTGCAGATATATGTTTATATTCTGTGTATACCCCCTTCAGAAGAGTGTTGATCACACATGTTAGCCTGGAAAGCCACATCCCCCCACTTACATTTGTTTGTGTGACACGCACAAAAATCTGTTAAAAGATTCTAAGGCCCATTTCTACAGAAATATTGTAAACTATATATAAATTTGGAGACCTAGCTGGCAGAATTACTCTTTGTGAATCACCTCTTTTGTGGACTGAATAGTCATAATAGTTACATTATTATTCTGTGTGAAAGACTAGCAAGGGGACAGAATGCAAAAAGTGAAAATAAATGTTTAACTTTCATGATGTCAGAAGGTTTAAGGCTTCAAGGCTGCACGGCTGGGCTCAATCATGTATTTGTTAGTTACATCAAAGAGAGGGTCAGAGAGAGCAAAATTTTATAATGATGCTAAGTTATTTTTCCTAATCAAATAACAGAGAAGACTTTGAATAACTAAATGAGAAGTAAGATTGAAAATGCAGTTCTTAATAAGTTCGCAGTGTAATGCAAGTAATACACATAGAAGAGATTATTTTAACTACTCACCCACCAGGGTTCAAAACTGAAAGTATTTAACTGAAGTTAAGAAGAGGGAAGTGACTGTAATGTCATGCTTGAAGAGGACAGGTCCCTGGGCAACTCCTGTTAGAAAAAGGGAAAGAGAGATCATCAATGAGGAAAGTTTCATTGGCTATGTCAAACCTATGAGTGAATGTCCAGAGTAGAACAAAAGGAACAATCAGAGGGCTGAAGATTCCAATGAGATGACAGATATGAGTGGGACTATTTGCCTTGAATGTCAGCAAATTAATTGGTACACACAAAAATTGGGACTAGTCTTCAATTTGAGTTACTAAATTACCTGCTGCAGCCCTCAGGAATTACACCCAGGCAGTGCCAGTAAGTTCACTCAATAACTGTTCTTAAGTAAACTGTATGAATACTATCTAGCTGCTTTGGTATAATTAACTGATGAAAGGGTGAATAAAGAAATATATTTTATCATTTACAAAAGAAGCAATTAATTATCTAGCCTTTGATTTTCAGAGTCTCTACTGTTATATAAGGCTTGAAGGTAAAAGGTTAAAAAAAACCCTCAAGCTTTAAATGTAAGGAAAATTGCATGTAGCTACAAACCAAAACACTATACAATATACATTATACAATTATTTTGCAGCTCAATATTATTTTGGGATATTCCATCCATCGAACATCGTGAAAATTTTTTATCTCAGAAAATAAAGGAGGAGAAAAAATCTCACATACCCCCTGATATTTCAGATACTGATGAGGATTTAGATCTCTCCTGGAAACCTCTCATAAAGGTAGTGTTCACAAATACAGAACACAGGGATTGAGCTAAACTGTAGATATGGCCAGAATTCCATAGGAACACATTCTTTTGCTTCCCAACTCTTTTTTCCAGCAAGTTGTGACCTCTTTATGATTTTTTTCTGATTATGACATTAAATACTTCAACATTCCTTTGAAACTTCAATAAAATGCATTTTGAAAAGCTAACTAATGAGAAACAGCATGACTGCTTCTAGAAAACTGCAGTAGGCCCAAAAGTAGTTGTGTAAATAGTGTCGGTTCCTGTCAACATTTCCAGATGCTCTGCTGCCTATCTCAGTGGATCCCAAATGGTGGAACATGGTCATGGTCAGCAGAACCATAATTACTAGCAAACCAACGTTCAGTCTCATGAAAAGGGTCATAGCAGTTTGTGAAAAAAAGTGAGGCTGAAAACAATGTTAGGTAAGAAAAAGAAATTATAATTTTAGGCATGCTGATCTATGCTGCTCAGAATACCTGCAGCTGACACAGTTTTTGAACAAGCATGACCACTGGAGTTGGGTTGTTTGGGCTTTTTTTGCTAGAAAAAAAGCAAAATTCTTACAGGAATAGAGATAACAAAGAGCATTTTCTCCATGCTTGTATGGGAGGCAGCAAATACTGTTTGTGGAGTATTACAAATACACTGCAAAGATCTGTTCCATTACAGCAGAAAGTCATTTAGATTTTACCTCAAAGATCTGACAAAATGGTTTAGCAAATGCACTTCTTTCTGAACAGATAAATCTGCGTGAAAGGGATAACAACACAGAGTATGGTCCCACCAGAATGAGTTTAAAGGAACTGCAGTATCGGTACAAACGCTCAGGTAATATTTTTATTACACTTTACATGGGGAAAATGTTTTAAATAAGCTTATATTTCAGTATATACATAATAAAAGCCGAGCAACAAAATACTGTATAGCTAAACACATCTGGAGAAAAAGATTTCTTAAGTATAGTGGTATTCAGTGTGTGAACTACACGTACTGACTACAAAGAGATGTACATGTAAAAATCCAAACTGAGCAATTCCATATACACAGTGACTCTACCCAGTTTCACTTAAAACCCCATGCAAATCCTTCACCCAATCTCTTTATCCCTGAAACAATATGCCCTTTTCAGCCATTACAGAAGACTATTTTTAGAAACATAATCCATTTCCTGGAGCAGAGATGTGACCTCCTGCTTGTGGCAGCTGTGGGTGATGTGTAAGGGCAGCTCTCATGGAGACACTGGTGCTGTGCAAAACTGGCAAAGAACAGGATGGTGCTACCCTAAATATTGCCTGGGTATAAGAAGCACTGACTTCAGAGATGCAGCAACAGGGAGGTTCCACCAGGAAACAGTAAACCTACAGAACTGCTTCTTTACTTGGCAGCCTTTCCTCATATCTTTTCTTGAAATGCCCCTTACCCACAAATTACCTTTACAAGACAAAGGATTTTCTTGGTCTAATAAATTCCAGTGAGTAACAGAAAGATGTAACTGCTGTTTCCCAGGGAAGGCAAAATCTCTGAGTGCTTTAAGAGCACCCATCAAAGAGAGCCCATATACAGAGATGAGTACATCTTCAAGCAAAAATCTTGAAGTACTGGAGAATATATCCACAGACTTTTTTGTTGGAAATGAAGTAAGTGAAAATAATGTATTACCAATTAAAATATTAATCCAAGATATCTGAAAGACTGAACAGTTAAATAACAGAGTTTTGACAAATGTATGGACTTGCATATTTTCTTCAGGTGCAACTAAAGAGATCTCTCTGAACATGCTACCTTTTACTTCCACTTTAATACTTTTAGCTATATGCTTAAAAAATAATAAACCTCCAATATTTGGTATACTATGAACACTTACTTCAAGAGCAGAATTAGAAGACATTTCCAAAATATTTTAAGCCTAGCCACCTATTAGGAACCAAAGAGTATTTTCTTATTCCAGAACATAAGATTAGTAATTTTTTTGTGTCTTCCCACATATCATGTGAAAACAGTTTACCCCCCCGACTTAATTTCACTTTAGGAAATCCCAACTATCATAGCCCACTACCTAAATTCATGGATCTTTCCCAGTTCGGAGTTCATACGGAAATAAAAAATAGGCTTCTAGCTACCTTTTTGCTTCCAGCCACCTTTTCCCCATATACATATGTCATGGCAAGTAAAGCTGTTTTGACAACACATAACTGAAAAACAGTGATGCAAAACTTTACTGTGTTTTCATTCATTGGCTGCAAATTCAGATTTTAATTTACTCAGATCATATTTAATGATGGTGATGTCTTTCCCTGATCTTAAAAATGGAGAGCTGGGCATGGTTAAGGGATAAGGGGGTTTTACTTTGTTATTTTATAAGGATGCTTATTGGTGCACCACTTTGCCAAGGTGGGATGCACTGCAAGGCACAAAATAGATTATGTATACAATTTATAGACCTTACAAATCAGCTTATCTAACATGGGTGCCCCAGTGGGAGGCCTGGATGAATGGTGTGATATTCCCACATCTGAGGAATTCCCCCCTGGAAGGGCCAAAGCTCTAGTTTAGGGTATGTTCTAGAGAGGACCTTGGTTTCCCAAGTTAATGTAAGGTTTTCTGGCCTCCTACTATGAGGCCTTTAGGATGTTTGGTCTCTTGGCCTAAGAGAATACTAGAACTGTGCTAAGTTATTAGACTTAAGAAATAACAAGTATGCATGCTGAGAATACTGAGGATACATAAAAGGTATATAAAAGAAAAGGTAAAAAATCATCTTGGCATCAGTGGTTAAAATTAAGAAAAGTCCAAGCTTAAAAACAAGTCACTTTGAAATAAGCCACCAAGCTCTAACTTTAGCATTTGCTTGATTTTTTTTGGCATTACAGGATGGAGAAGTTGTTTATTCTAACTGGCAAATGAAAATTGATAGTAATTCAGCAAAACCAGTTAGTAAGTTCAAGTTTCTCAATATCTGTTTAAGCCTTAATATATCACTAACTTTAAAATATTTGTGTCTCTACTCTGTCTTCTTAAGGTTCTTGCTCATAGCTCTAATAGTCTTTCTCACTGATAACACCTAGATTTAACAGTACACCCTCAAAAGTACAAGCACTTTAGCTGGCATGACAAAATAGCACAAAGATATGGGCACAAATAATGAAAATAACTAATTTGTGGCAAATCCAATTCCTGTACCTTGTGAGCAAAATTAAAAGAGGCTGATAACTTCCAGGCCTGTGGTAGGTCCTGCACTCTTGTTTCCTGATCCCTAAGGCACTAAGTAACAAGCAACTGCCTTTTTCCTCCATTAGGTCAGAAGCACTCCCAGAAATATGCTCTCCACACCGAAGCTATCAACACTCTCCAGCAATCTCCATTTTTTAAAGACATCTTCCTAAGCATTGGAGGCCAGAAGTTTGCCATTTGGAAAGAAGGAGTTACAGTAAGTTACTTTAACACAGCTGCAACATTTGTGATAGGTATCTTAAGACAGGACTACAACAGGCTCAGAGACTATATTTTCAGAAATGTGTAATTTATGAAGCTTCATATTTTAGCAACTAAACAGATATAAAAGAAGCTTTCCATCTTCTTCACATCAGAAAACTATTTTAGATACAGCTTAGCAAACTTACCTTTTACAGAAAAAGGGAAGTGACTTTCTTAAATTCCAACCTTGCAAAAAGCACAGCTTACCAACTATTCATTTCTCCTGCTAGGGAAATGTATGGTGAGCAAATCTGAAGGATTTGTATTTTAGGACAAGGTTTTTTAATCATGTGAAGACAAAGAAATGTGGGGTTTTTTAAGTTTGTCTCATGCAGGAATCCAGGTTAGCTGCACCTGACAAAATCTCCAGACCACAGGTTTTAACAGCAGACAGATTATCTGAAGAGACTGGAAGTGAGATTCCAGGTTTTTTTGCTTCCCCATCCTTTTTATCTGCAGCAGGTAGTAGGAATTCTGCCATTGATGTAATTTTTGTAATGAGATCATTTAAACTGTAAGCATTTTCCAAAGACAAGAGATCTGAAGTAGTGAATTGATAGTACTGTTTGATTGTCAGATCTATCTTTTATTTGTTTTCCAAAAAAATTAAGAATGGACCAATCCTTCAGTCAAGCTGCTCTGCAGGAAGATACACTGCAGGACAATGGTCCTTAACAAGACCAGGAGTTTTCTTCATTGGCAGAGACAATGGAAATATAGATATTTGGGACTTAATGAAGAAAACTCATGAGCCATCTCATTTCCAGACCATCTCCAAATCAATCATCACTTTCATCAGCCCCTCCAGTGCCTCAGGTGTGTGGATGGTGATTGAACTTTATTCTGCTACCCTGTTTCCAAAATGGGTACACAAATCATATTACAAATCATCTTATATAAGTACATACTTCCACAAATATACATACAAAAATGGATACATCAGTTCTAAGTGTACTACCATGGCATAAAAGCAACTAAAAATATTTCATTTTCTAAAAGTCTGTTAAAAGAAAAACTTTAAAGGGATTACTAAAATAACAGAGCAATAAGGTTGCTTTTTTTGCATCAGTGAATAATAAACTAAAACTACCAGAAAAAAAAAAAAGAAAGAACCCTCTGTAGCTCGTCTTTGGGTGGAGGGTCACGTTGCTGTTGGAATTTGGATTGTTTATACATTTTTTTGTCAAATATCTTTCAGCAGAGCAGCATTTTCTGGCTGTTTCTGACAACCTTGGAGTTCTGCATATTTTGGAAATCTGTCAAACACTATGTCACCCTTTGAGTAATGAGGTTGGTAAGAATTTTTATTAAATCTCTTTGACACTTTATCCTGAAAACTCCAGCATAGAAACAAATCTCCTTAGACAAAAATGCCTTCAAATGATGGCAATTAATTTGAAATCAGTATAGCCATGTTCTCCAAAGATCACCTGTAGCCAAGCTGGTTTTGTACAGAGCTTAGGTAAGAGTCAACTGAAGCAAATCTCAGTGACATTTGCAGAATTCCACTGTTCCAACCTGGCTACATGAAAATACAATTAAGAAGTCAGCGTTTTTTGCCACATCCATAAAATGACACCTTTCATGCAGTAAAACAATGTTTTAGAGTGCATAGTAGTGTATCTATACTGAATTCCTTTTTCTTTATACCTCCTTGTCCACATTTGTGTTGATTTTTTTCCTTCAAATTTGGTAATTCAGTTTACATGTCTTCGTATCTGGTTCTAGTTCAGTGAAAGCACATTTTGAAAAGTGTTACTAACATTCCCACTCATTCACGCTCTTGAAATAAGAACTGTCTGTACCAAAAGGCCATGGGAACAATGCAAGCAGTTTTAATTTCTCTTTTTTTCTACATAGTTTTCAGTTTTTCTTTTCCTCCACCTCCCAGCCAAAGATTGAGCTAGTGTGTCAGTCTAGCAGTCTTGCCTGCTGCAAAGTCTGTTACTCTAACATCAAAAAAACATCTTCCCATTCTATTGCAGTTTTATGTTTATGTAGGCACTTAGTTTATAAACATCCCATAAAGGTTTGCCATGCACAGAGCTGCAGTGGGTAGCAGTAAAACATCACATCAGCAGCTTCATTTTAGTAAAAATTACTTCTCCAAAGCAAGGCAGGAGCTAACTTAAATAATATGAGGAAACAATTGCTTCTGCACAGATTACCTGTGGTTTGGAACTAAACTCTTTAGGGTGCAGAATTACCAACCAAGGATCAGTCACTAATATTTAGATTACATTCATTGTAACGGAAGTATTCACTGTGAAATACTAGGCTGTTGAAGAGACTAATAAAAGCTAAAACACAGAATCCCAGATAAATAAATGAAAAGTATCGTAGCTGATGGTTTCTTTATGCCTGAAGTTGGTCACATCTTTATATTATTTTGCTGCAAACTACTGGGATAAATAGAAATATTTATATTTCCAATTTAGATAAAATATTAATACGATTCAGAGCATCAGCAAGAGAGCTGTGTCTCTGAGCATGTAATGACCCTTGTTTGTCACTGTGTTTACAGCATGCCAATGTACTTGATTACTTCAAAAGAGAAGTCAAATATCTGAAGTACTGTGAACAGGAGTTTAAAGAGTATCAAAAGTTTCAAGCCAAAACAGAATTGAAATCGAACTGGAGACAGAGAGAGAGAAAACAGTATGTTATACCTGGAATTAAGAAAATTTTCTGTTTCTTTGTATCCTTAAAGTGCACCTGTATTGTTAGACAGGATTTTCCACATTATTCTCAAAAAATCAGGATGGACATAATCGGAATTGTTTAGCAGCTCTTTACTTCATATTTATAGTTCTTAAGAATGGAAAAGAAGTTCCAGTTCATTTCTTGGTCAAATGAACCCCCTGCAAGAGCATTAGAACCTATGGACATTTAATAACTATAAATTTGCTTTTCATTTTACACCAGTTCAAAAAGTTACATTTTGTCATCTTCCCTATAAACATTGCTCCTTCAAGTAAGAATAGATTCCAGCCTTCCATTCCTTAATCACATAAGAATATTGCTGATCCGTTCTTTGGTAAATGGTTTAATAATACTAAATAACTAAACTGTCATTTCTTTGGTTGATTGATGTAGCCCATGGTGATGCCTACTTTCATTAATTTGTGATACCACTGACACAAGCCACTGGAAAACAATGGGGTCACATACAGGTTTCAAAGCTTAACAGGGCATTATTGCCTGATATGTGTTTTTCCTTCAGCATATGACTACAGAAAACAAAAGAAGAGATGGAGGATCAAGAAAATGCACATTATACTGTGTTTCTGGAGCTGGAGAAGCAGATAGTAATGGAATTAGAGACAAGAAATACTTTCCTCATTGGATGATTAGAGCCCATTATCACCTTTAGAACCAGCAAGCTTCTTATTGAAAGACCTCTATTTCAGCAGAACATGTTTAGATTTGGAAATAAAGAATCTTGCAGCAAGAGGTTATTGTTTCATTAACCTTATCTATTTGCTTGCTCACAGGGTGGTTAAAGAACAATTGATTTGGACCCAGTTTCCCTACTATTTTTCCTTAATACAGTTATAATATAAATTCTCTTTAAATAATAGTTTTCAAAGCTCTGACTCTAAACCACTTTTACTTGCTATCATCAGTTTACAAGTTATTGTTACTTAATCCTGGCAAGCACTTACAAACAGGAAAACCAAGTCCATTAAAATATATTGTTCCCTCAAAGAAATCAGTATTATTTAGGACAAACAGCTTTTAGTAAGCTCACTGTAGCTGTGCATTTATGTCAAAAGACAATTATCCCTGAGAGAGATCAAATGGTGTTGTACAGAAGTTTTAATATTTACCAGTGTAAATAAGTAACAGCTCATGAATATTAATGCCCACTCTCCATCCAGAGAGGACTCTTTGGTAAGTGGTTCTGCTGCTACTGGGTTTCAATAGCCTGATCTGACACCATGTAACTGAGCAGAGCCTGCCAGGCAGAAATTAAATCTATCAGAGGAGAACAGATTAAACTCTATATGGGTGAGTTCACTCTTTCCATGACTCACCAAAGTGTTTGAGGGTCACAGACTCCTGTCAAACAAATGTCCATGTGGTCACAGTAGACACTAAAGCACAAAAGACAACTGACACACAAGGGATTTGCAGAGAGGATCTTCATCTGACAAGCAATAGCCAGCCCCAGTGCTCTGCTTCATCAGAATAAAGAACAGCCAAAGAGAAAACAGGATCAGTGTGAGGCTCTGCGTCCCAAAATAAACACTGCTAATTGGGGTTAGGCAGTGTTAAAGACATGTCCCTTCAATTTTCTACAGCCAGGATCTCCCTGTCATGTACTTTTAGCACTTTGATCGAACTTTGGTCAGATTTAAAGGACTTGGTTTGGAAGATGGTGTCTTGTTTACTACTTTGAAGTTTAAATATTATAGCAATATGCCTTGTCCTTCATGTTGAACTACTTCTAAATTAAAACCAAGGAAAATTCAACAAGCATGTCCCTAGCACCTGCAGCACAGTGTTTGCAGTCAGAGTGCAAACAGGAAGAGAACTCTGCTCCTCTGCTAAATCAATATTTAACCAACAGCCTGCTCTACACAGATATGTAAATATCATACAACCGACTAATTAAAAAGCTCACCTATTATCAGGCTTGGACTTCATTAGTACACCACCTCAGAGCATCTTCCACAGATCTCTTTTGATTAACAAGTCAGCAAACTACAAATAAATGTCAGTCATATTGTCATGGCTTATCTGGAAAGCCCAGCCAAGCCCCTCCACTGCAGCTGTCACTACTCCCCAGAAGAGGCAGCAGCCTCAATGGGACCCTTGTTCCCCACCACAAAGGCACTCTTAAGAGTTTTGATTAAGAAAATACTCCAAAAGACCGAGGGATTTCAGGTGGGTTTTCCTAACAGCACAGCCAAAGGGGCAGCAGATCAGGATTCTGCTTATCAGCTCCACTCCCTCCCTAGAGCAAAGTAGTTTGGGGAGCTGCAGGAATGCCCCAGCTGAAAGGGAGTAATCTTCCTGAGAGACATTTTCCTCCTCATCTCTGTTCCCAAGTAACACAAGAGACATGAGATTATTCATCCCATCAGGATCCTTTCATCTGTCCAATACAGATGTGCAAATACCTGTAGGGTCAGCTTTGCATCATCTCACGTCGGGCCCTTCCAATTTTACCCTGAGGATATTAAGACACATTACACAGGTTTTCCTGCTTGGTTCTAAGAGACAAGCAGAATGAAAACAGTAAATTCATTATGTAGGATGACATTTTAAAGCAAACATGTAATAGTTACATGGCAGTGCAACATCAGTCCCCCACACACCCCGAATAATTTCAGCTTGTGTTAGCTCCAGAATATGAGACAACAGTTTCCCATATCAAAATACACTCACTGTCAAGAATCCCAGTATCCTCATCCTATCCCTTGGGAAGGGGATGAAGGTGAAGGGGTTAAGATTTAACAGTGGAAATAGGATGTGTGTCTCTGGCTTAGCAGATTTATAGATTTACTTTGTAAAAATCCTGCATATCTGTTGGGGATATTTCCCTCTATTTCTAGAACATGTCTGAATAGCTGCAGATCCATTTCTTGTCGGGTGCATTAACAAACATACACGTAAGTTACACATTTGGGAAGGACAGATGTAAAAACCTGAAGTTTCTGAGCACGTAGGTCCCCAATGGCTTAAGCCAGCCTGAGGTCATGCCACCCCCACACCATCCCTATCCACCTCATGCATGCTCCTGTAATAAGCACTTTGGGAAACTAAAAGGGGGAGAAGCCAAAAGGTGGATCAGCCACAGAGCACCAGCAGCTTGGAATGTGGAAAATCCTATTTAAACAAACAGGAAAGGATTAAAATTCTACAAATGGGCCTAGTCCACTCCTAAATCCACCCAAGTGTATCATATCCCTAACACTTGGCAGCAAAGAATGGCACAGCCCTACCTCTGCATTTCTGCTTTTCCCTGGGGACTACAAACAATTCTTGGTTGTAACCCAGCCCTGCACATGGCCATCACTGGCTTGTGCTTGGGTAAAACCATTTAATGCGATTTTGGTGCAAGCCTTGGAACTGCCTCTGTAAAAGCACCCACACCCATTTTCTTTACCTGGGAAGGAGAGGTCACACCTGAAGGAAGTCCACAGACTCCAAGGACAATTTGTTCTCTGCAGTTAACCTGTTCCAGTTCCTGGTGAACAGGAGCTGCTCCTGATGCCAAAGGAGTCTCACCAAGCAGAGCACAGCACAGGTTAGCACAGCAAAGTGGCCACAGAGTTTGGAGGGGCCCTGCCCTGCAACCACACACAGCCAGAGGCTCCCCTTCTGTGTAAAAACCGTAATTACTGCTTTGGTAGAAGCAGGTTGTTTTAATCTCCCAATTTAGTGCTTCTAGATTAAGGTAATTCCCATAGTAATCCTGTTCCTTAAGAATCTGTAACAATCACAAAAAGAATGCAACTTGATCAGATTACACAACTAACTGTATGAAATACAACAGCATCATATATATATCCCTTATATATATATAAGGGATAACGTAACAAAAATACCACTTGGGAAATGTCTCATTAAAGGAGGATTTCTAAGCTACAAAACATGTTTTCTAAATTGTTATAACTAAATTACCCAGAAATGTTTGAGTAATACAATATATTAATGTATTTTAATTACCCCATGATATTAACATGAATACAATTTATCAAGTCACTAATTTCAACTGCTGTAATATTAAAGTTGACAGAGCAGTGCACTGCTGCCCCAAATTTATTTTAAGTTTTATTCCTGGAGAAAGAGCTTACATGCATTCAAGAGGTGACCACTTACATCATCTGGATTATAACAGGCAATGAAAGATTAATAAATGAAAAATGTTTGCATTTAAATTTAAAGAGTGCTAATGCAGTAGTGATTTATTTTTAATTATCTAACTCAAACATTGGGTAAATCTAGACATGACAACAGAACAAAACATCTGAAAAGCTAGATGTCTTTAAGGAATTAATTCATGTGTGCAGCCAGTGTAAATGGATGACATCAGCTTAGACAGGTTTAAATAATCATGAGCTAGGCAAAGACAGAGAGATTTTGTTCTTAATTCAAATTTTATTTAGAATTTAAATTTATAGTTTAAAAAGTATGCACATTCTGTAGGTATAAAAGTTTAAAAAAATACATCGATTTATTGATAAATGCTTCAGGTTAAATTTACATTTTCATTCATATCATCATATTGCAATAATTGTTTTGCATCTTTTAACACTTATAAAAATAAATTAATGAGATTGAATAACCCATTGGAACCATGCTAAAATAATTGCTTAGAAAAGAGGGGTGAAGTTTATCATAGCAATTCTTAATTCCTTGCTACTGTAAATAAATAACTCTTCAATTAAGCAGTATAAGGAAGTACAGGTTAGCAGAAAAGCACTTACCCACAGGGTGAATGGAAAGCTGTGGTGGGATGTCAAAAATCGTACCAAAAAGATGTAGAATTTATTTCTACCCTGCCAGCTGACAGCAACTGACCTCTCAAAACACCAAAACCTTCTCAGCCTCACCTGCCCAAATTCCCCGTTCCTTGGGGGTGTGTATGTGACCTGTAGAGGACAAGCAATGATCCTCTATGTCCTTTTGGTTAGAAGGATTATCAAAATATCTGTATACAATCTGGTAGCTATTTTTCACTGAATCAAGAATGTGTTTCCTTAACATGAAATGTTTAATGGCTCACAATAAAGGACCAGAGATAAAAGAGGCTCTGAGCAGATGGTGATGGCTCAATCTAGTAAGGTCACAGTGAACTGCAATCCCACCCAAACTCCTCAGGAGTAATACCACTCCACCCATTCAGCTGCATGTGACAACTCTGGTTTCCATTTTTGGGAGAGTAATTAAAAAAAAAAAACAAACAAAAACTGGCTTTGTGCTGAACTTGCATCTCCAGAGCCACAACCCTTTACAGAGGGCTCAAACACATCTAACTATCAGCAGCAGCCAAGTGTACCACAACAAGAATACATGAACTCTGGAAAGAAAAAAAAAAAAAACGTATCAAAACCTCAAGAATAAAGTAACAGGTTACAAAGGAAAAACAAAAAATATTTTTTGAGAAGTAAATACCTTCCAGACCTTCTTTATATGTTAAAAAACCCATGGAGGAAGAAACAAACAACGAAGAAAAAAAAAAAAAAACAAACAGAAAGGGTGGTGTGAGTGTGTGAGAGTTAATAGTCAACACCTGCAAACCGCTGTTCCTGCAATACACAAGGTCATTTACATTAATCATTCACCCTACCTTCTCTCTGGCCCTGTTTCTGTGCATAAATCAAATGCTGTGTTACCCAAAGGGTAACCTTGTCCTGGCATCACTGAACATGTCTTCTTAGAAAAGGGAACATTTCATAATTCTGAGACCTTTCTTTTCAAAGATGGCTACAGACACATGCACATTTATACATAGATATATACAAACAAGGTTAGAAAAATATTTATTTTTGCTTGCTTAAATAATTACTGAAAAGTGTTAATACAGTAATACGTTAATATTTGTACAATTAAAACTTTATATATAAATATTATATAAAGCATTTTTCATAGCAGCCATTGCATATATAGTGAAACAAGTCTATCTGAAGTCCCTGCTGCACAACTCAGGCCAAGCAGCATTCATCCTCTTCTGAGAGGAACATCTGTACCGGAGCCAGGAGTTCAGGAATGAGGAATCCTGCTGCCACTGACAGCAGAGATGTTGCTTTATCTTCTATCAGGTACTGCCCAGGCCACCTAAGTGCACAGTGTTTTTAGGGAGAAATGCCACTATGTGGAATCACATCACAGTCTAAACTTGTCTCCAACACAAATCAGGGCAATGCCTTCTAACAGAAAGGCAGAAACATTACGGAATGGCTTCAAATGTGCTACCACCAGATGGGCCATGGCCTTACCACGAGGTGTTCCTCACACAGCTAGGGAAGCCCAACAAGGGGCATGGAGGCACGGGGAGATGTCATGCAGGACAGGATTTAATAACTCATATTTAGTTTGTTTTTATTGAGTTCCCTTTCCAGGTTTCCTATGAGAGTATCAATACTTTCCTGCAGGTCCTTGAGGTGTGCTCTGTGATCCACGGCAGAGTCTATAGCTGGCACTGTCAGGTAGCTCCCCAGGGGATGCTCTCCAGGCCTGGGCTGCGGGTGGCCGGCGGGCGCGTCCAACTCCTCGGCCTTGCTGCTGTCATCCCCGCTCTCCGTGTCCTCCGAAGGGACATCATCATAGTCTGCCTCAGCCAGGCAGTCTCTGGGGTTTAGGAAGTAGTTCTCCCCACAGCTGCTCCAGTCCCCAGCGTAGCGGTTGCTCGAGGGGCTGTCCAGACCTGCTGGCCTTGGTCTGAGCACCCCCGACATCTCGGTCCCGCTCAGGTTCAGCATCTGAGGTCTCTGCCTCTTGGGTCTCAGGTAATTCAAGGAGGATGAGTGCTCAGGAAACACATTCAGATGTGCTGGCTCTTTGGCAGGCGAGTGATGAACTAGAAGAGAGAAGTTAAACTAGTCAGAACTGAATCCATGCTGCAACAGAAAAATCCATGGCAGATGCCCACTGTCCTCCCTCAGTGTCCCACTAAGAGCATGCACAGACACATGGAATCTTACAGCCAACACATTGCACATTTTTTGCCACTCTTTGATATAAAATAATTTGGAAAAACTACTCTAAAATCTCAATTTTGAAGATTCACTCTAGAGTGAAATTGCAGCAGACAAACCTTTCTAAAAGTAGAAACTCCCAGAACAACAATTAATTCACTGTAAGAGTTAATCACCATCCAGCTCTGGGTCAAAGAAAAGCAAACAGTTCAGCTCACACACTGTCCAGGCTAAGGAGTAACAGAAAGCAGGCACAGCAGAAGAGGTTAAAACACAACAAAACCACCACCACTGAGAAATATCTGGAGAAGCTGACAACTGAGCTGAGTTCTCGTGCTTCTCCCCTGCCCTAATGTTCTGTGCTATTAAAGAAGCTCACTTCTCACCTGCAGTAATTTTCCTGTGCAGCCACAAGCAGATGTACACTCACACGGGTTTGCTGGCAGTGTTACCCGAGCTCACAACTGCACAGCAAAAGTTACTAACAGGCTCCTCTGCTCTTACCCACTGCCTAAGGCAAACAGCACAGCTCTCCTCACTGACCTGTGCCTAGTAAGTACCTGAGCCACAAAACTTCTGGTTATATACAGACCATTGCTTCTTGTAATGAGCAGCAGAGACTTCCTATTCCCATTGCCCACTGAAAAGGCAGTGCTCACAAAGCCATGCAGTTCACCATCTGACCCTCTCCTTGTTAGACTCCCCACACACAAGAGCAAAGATTCAGTCCTGAAATATACCCAATCCTTCTCCTTCTGGATCCACATTACAGGTCTCTCCAGGGGATTTTACTTTAATGTCTTGCACAGTAATATGCAATAACTTTCACTGCTTCCCCCCCCCACCTTACTGCAACAAAACCCCTTCTGTTTAGACTATGCTCCATTAGGATGGAGGGCCATGGGTTAACAATAACTTGCCAGTGTTATACGGTCTAACCAAACAAGGACTGTTTGTTTTCAGTTGGAAATATACGGAAATTGAAGTATTGCACAACACGTTGGTTATCAAGCTGTCTCAAACTACAGATGATTAAATATAAGGGATCAGACTGTGATCCTTCCATTCAGTCCAAGTGTGCTGTTTACACTGTGTGGTGCTCACCTACTCAATTCCCTGCATTTGTGTTTTACCTCCCTTTTAACACAACATCCTGCAAAGCTCTTGCAAGCCAAGGGATAGGACTCGGCTTTTTCTTCTAAGTGAAGGAAAACTCCACTACTTACCCTACTCCTACCCTCTTAGAGTGATACACACTCCTATGGGCAGAGCTACATCCACTTGGTTTTGTAGTCCAGAGTAGCCATGCCACAACCCATCCCCAGGGTTTCAAGATTAGTTTCTGCACAGTATTTGCTACCCAAACAGCTCTTGGTCTCCTTCCACCTACATGCCCCATCTCTCCTGCACAGACTCACTCATCTGACTGA